GCCATTATCATCTTTATCCGGTGTTCGGGTGCAATTATCTATGCCTAACGGAGAAGTGTTGATTAGATTTACAAATGACCCTGCAGGTTTATGGATATAGAATGTCACTCTGGGCTGAACACATGGAAAAAATCGATGACTGCTTTAAAGAACCTGAAAGTTTTGACTGCTTGAAGACTGTTAAAAGAATCGCTGAAGAGAACTGGATAAGGTACACAAGCGAGGCTTTTATGCCATTACAGGGATACCTACTCAAATAACCCATTGCGGTAGATGGCAATGGAGAAGTAAGCCACTTGCCTGGACAAGAGACCTTCCCCGATCTTGGTGGTAAGATACTTGGAACTCTAACAACACTTCCTTGTGCTCTTACTACCTAAGTTTCGATATTTGCCATGTTCATATCACTGCATGGTTCTGGTTCAACCCCGAAGAACGGGAAAATAGGGTCGGGGCAAGTTGGCTCTTCCTATATGGATCGCGAAGATATAAATGATTGTATGGGTTCTACTGAAAAACCAAAGAAAGGGGGACACAATGGGTGAGCAAGTCTGGTTCTTCCTATATATACTGTATATTGGAGAGGCATCCATGTGGTTAACACATTGATGGCTTGAATTTGATGCCCATGGTCTATTTAATGTGAAGCACTAGACATATGCAATCACCAAATTTATACCAGTTGGCTTAATTTTTTTGCAATTCGTTCTACTATATTAGATCTAGCACATATGATCATCCGTTTCCAAGTATGAGCAAATAGATGTGCACTTTATGTGCCATCAAAGCACATTGACATCACCATTATCATCGTGGAAGTTCGGTTGGCGATCCATTCCATAATTGAAGCTTGGATTGACATAGCATTTCATCCCATGAAACAGATTCAAATTATCCACCAGCTTGTGAAAAAACATTGCCATCAGTTATCTTCAAGTCCATGCCTCCCTACAAGATAATCAAGAATAAAAACCACAAATGTGAGCATCAAACAATGAAGATGGCGTATTTCGTATTAAGAGACATCATATTAGTTGCAATAAGGAGGAGATGTTCTTATTTTGGTGTGTATTAGAAGATGTATTTATAATTTGAGGATTAGCCAACAATAGAATACGACTTGAGAACATCGAGCTGTGTGTTTTTTGAATTATTTAAAAATAGTTTAAAAGGAAGTTCGAAGAATCTAAATAAGCTAAAAATAGTTTTATCTTGCTAAATTTAAAAGTTATCATGTAAATCATTTTTTTTTTAATTCTCTAAAATAAAACAGTTTCATCACGGGTAAATTGATATTATTTGTTAAAGATTTTTTTTTTCAAAAGACATGTTTGATAGGATATACAACGCCACTGCTTAAAAACTCAATGACCTCTTTTTTTATTTTTAATGTGAGATTCATGTCACTCGTCGTCTTTCCATATCGTGATATTTATTATCAATTATAAATAATTTTGATCGAATTAAGTTGAAATAAAATACACTACTTAAAGTGATATATTGATATACTTGAAAAAGATTTCAAACAACCCCAGTTAATAAAATCCAATCACATAGTAGTCTTAAGAGCTAAGAGATAACGTTAAAAATGAGAGGAAACAAAGAACCAATGATTTATAGCAGCATGTCTCCATAATCGAACCACTATGATTTTGATGTGATTTCACAATTAATTATAATCCTTTTCTCCCTTGTTCATATAACACGAATATCACTGACGAGAAAGGTGGATCTAAAATACTTCTTAAAAGTAAATTAAACGTTAAATGTACTTTTGTTTCTTAGGGATATTAAATAGTAAAATTATGGGGACAGGATTATCCTTCTCTTGTTCCAGACGTTAGTTTTCCAAAATCGGTGGCCGGCTTTAAACGGTAATCTGATAGGCTTCATGTTTCCCTTGGGCCCACGTAGTTTTCAATGATAAAGTATACGGTAAAATATTTGTTTAGTCATTGAAATTTTAGAATCATTTGTTTTGATCTCCTAACTATAAAAGCTTTTAATTTGATCATTAAACTTCCAAAATTTATCCGTTTTAAGTCATTTGGACTGTTGGAAGTTAATTCTTTAACGACTTTTAAAAATTATGCTAAAAAGTAAAAACCCTGAAAGTTGTGGTAAAAATAATACAGAAATCCCTTGAAATTTTCCTCTCTTAAACTTTAGATCCAGTTTTTAGAATCCCCTTTGATTCACTAATACAAGAGGCCTTTCTTTTAATTTTGAATAGTGAAAAGGTCTACGAGGGGAATAAAAGCAATATATCATCTACTTCATATTGATCAAACGATGAAGACTGTAAATTAAACTATTAAAAAGTCAAAACATCGATTAATTTTGTTGGTTTCAACGAAAACTAAACTAAGAGAAAGAAATAGAAAAAATAGATTTTGGTATCGGTGACTTCGTATATGTTAGTCAGTGGAGAAAAATGTTGGTTATTGTGAAAAATAAGGCCAAAATGTTAGATTAATTCCATAAACAAAAGGTTAAAACACAGTGTTTTAATGTTAAAAAAACTAATGTGAGTGACTGAAGCCAATAAAATATTAAAGCTTAATGACCAAATGGAAAATGTTTATAGTTGGATGACCACCAACATAGAAACACTAAAAGATGGAGACTGATTTACTAAAAAATATATATTAAATTAAATTTGATTAAAAATATAATATACATGAATAATTAAATATAAATGTGGAGAAGGTTGCCGCAGGAAAAAGGCATTGCAATAATTGGTGAGGACAAATCTTATCTTGAAAGACCAAAAGCTTTGTTTCTATCTGATTTCAGTAGGCTGTTTGGATACGAAAGCCTTTGTCTATAACCAACGACAATTGATTTAAGTACTAAAATGATTGTCTATGTTCCCATATGTAATGAGGTAAGAGGAGGTAAAATAGTAGATTGTCTCCAACATCAGGTTGAGAACAGCTTCCGTAGAAGACTTCCGAATTATGAAATGTCCTCCGTGAGACTCGATCCTACGACCCCAAGGTTAAAAAACTTATGTTCTACCAACTGAGCTGAATAGTATTTATAAAAATTTTGAGTTTGAATTTTTATATATATAAAAAAAATTATATTAAAAAATTCATCTATTAAAATCAAATATATCATTAAAATCGATTCAAATTAATTAATACGAAACGTTAAGAATACGAAGCGAAAAAAGAAAAATTCTTTGTCTATAGAGAAATAAAGAAAAGGACATACATATGAAAAGGAAGATTACTAGTATTTGGACCAATTAGAACCCGGCTCGTTTCATTTATTATTAGTATTTGGACCAATTAGAAAAGGACATACATATGAAAAGGAAGATTTACTAGTATTTGAACCAATTAGAACCCGGCTCGTTTCATTTATTATTAGTATTTGGACCAATTAGAGCCCGACTAGTTTCATTTTTCTTTCACATATGAGTTATATCCTCAAAACTTCTTTTGATTATTTACTTATATTTATAAATATAAATTATTGTAAAATAAATTATATAGACTGTTATGTAAATAAAATAATATTATATTAATAATCAAGTATACATAAACTAGATTGGTTATTATATCATAGTTATGAAAAATTAATAGTTTGATCATTATTTCAGTTAATATTATAATATTTTAATTAAAATATTAAGTGTTTAATTGAATTAAAAATATTTTCTTTTAAAATATATAAATATTAATAATTGAATTTATTATTATATCGATTATTTATTTATGAAGATAAATTCAAGCTTGTTATAAGTTGAGTTTGAATAGTTAATTTAGGCATTGATTGATAAGTTGAAATTTTAAATATTAAAAGAAGGTTTAAATTTAAATTATAAATTTATTTTGTGAAATACCTAAAATTAAATAAAACTTTTTTTCAATAATATATTTCAAAAAGAAAAAAAAACATAGAATATATGATTTTTTAGATTAAATTTATCTTTTAACTCGACTTAAAATGTGTTTTCAAAAAATTAATATAAATTTGATTTTCAACTTTAGTCAACATTAAAATCTTAAATCGTTAAAGAATAGCTACTCACAGCGACCTGATTTGGATTTTACACAAAAACTCAATAAAATAGTGATTTTTTTTATAAATTCTAAATCTAATTTTACACATAGATAGGAAAAATGAGAACTCAAAGGAAAAAAAAAGAGTAACGTTTTATAATCTAAGAAAATATGATTAAAAAAATGTGTAACTTGACTAACTGAATAAATATACTTACTCAAAATAAATTTATTTAATTAGTCAAGTTACTCATTTTTTTTATTGTCATTATTAGCAGCTCCCAAATTCACTGAACATTAAATATTACCTTCCAAATTTTAATTGTCAATTCAACTCAATTTTAATTGTTTAAAAATGTAAAACATGGTAGAATAATTGCACAGCAGCACAGGGTTGATTTCGTGTCGAGTAGATACTAGTTCAATTTTACTTTTTTTTTTTTAAATATAATTAACCTATAAGATTTATTTTAAAAAAAAAATAAATCAAAATTGACTAAATATAGAAAAGAACTTTAGTGAATACCATGGGCTCCAAAAGATTTTGTTCATCGGCTTTATATATTTTCTAAAAATATATAGATTTTTAAAGTTTTAACTAGATTCTGTTTGATAAACGGTTAAAAATTAAATTAGTTAAAAATAAATATTTTAAATGATTTAAATTTTTAAATGAATTTGATAATTCAAAATAAAAATAATTTGATAATTTTTTATGAAAAAGTAATTTATCCGAAAAAATAGATAAACACTTTACTTATCAAACAATATCGAATTTAAATATGAAAATAAAATTATATTATAAAATATTTGATTTCATGAGAGGTGGACCCCGAACGTGTCAGCGACTCAAATCATAAATCCACCGAGTTGTGACAGACTCACCTGCCTCCAAAACGGAAGATTCCTTAGAATATTCCGTTCTAGCCCAATCTTTGCTCGAAACTCGGATAAAGCTACCCCCTTTCCTATATAAACTAAACCCTCTTCTTCCCCATCTCCCCCACAATTTCAAAATCTCTTTAGAGCGATTCCCACTCAAATAATCATGAGTTATTCCACTCTGTCTGAGTCAGAGCAAGAACATCTCTTGGACAAACTCGACGTCTTCAAGGTTCAAGGTAGAGATAAACGCGGCCGTAATGTGCTTCTCATCATCGGCAAACGCTTCCCTGGTAAAAAAAACAAGCATATTGTGTGTTTTGTTTTGTAAATTTTCTGGGAAATTGGTTCTTTGTTATGTTAAGTTAATTGGGTATTTTTCTTTTTATATGGCGATAGCACGCACGGTTAGCTGTGAGGTTCTGAAGAAGCATTTGGAAGAAAAGATTTACCCCAAATTAGGGGAAAAGCCTTTCTCGGTGGTTTATCTTCATACGGATGTTCAAAGGAGTGAAAATTTCCCGGGAATCTCAGTCCTAAGATCAATCTACGATGCTATTCCAATGAACGTCAAGAACAATCTGGAGGCTGTTTATTTCTTGCATCCCGGTTTACATGCCAGGCTTTTCCTCGCCACTTTCGGCCGTCTGTTCTTCAATGGAGGGTGAGGGTCTCTCTCTCTCTCTATTATTATAACATTTTTGAATTTCAAATCAGACAATTTAGCCATTGATGATAAAGTCGATAGTGGTTTTTTTTGTGATTCATCTGCTTTTTTTAAGTTGAAGAGTTGTTTTTTAAGGTAAATTTGTAATGAATGATTGGGATTTGAATGGCAGGTTGTATTCGAAGCTTAAGTATGTCAGTAGGCTTGAGTTTCTATGGGACCATGTGAGGAGGTTGGAGATTAAGGTACCGGAGTTTGTGCATGATCATGATGAGGAGCTTGAGTACCGTCCGGTGATGGATTACGGATTGGAAAGCGACCACCCTAGAGTTTACACCGAGCCACCGTTGATGGATCCGATTTCTGTGTACTCTATGAGGTGCATAGCTTAAAGCTTAACCGAGCGTTGGAGAGTCGAGAACTGTAGATTTTTGTTGATACGCTTATGGCTTTTTGGGTTCTCGAGTGTTTAGGTGTTTGATATTGTACAGAATGGAAGTTGTTGTGTAAATAGAGCGACTTGATTGGCCGAGTGAACGACTTAGTCGCCAAATGGATAAAAATCAACTCTCGAAACGAATGAGTAAAGATAGGGAAAACCCTTTTTCTTAAAACCAACTTGGCCACTTGGTTCTCTAATGGATAAGAAAGAATTAGATGCCATTTTTTCATATAAACAAATGACAAATCTTGATGCTAAAGTTGTGTTGTTATATGGGAAAATGATGTAGGCAAGAGCGGGCCAAAGAATGAAACAAATTATCACATAAAAGCAGCGATTAGTTCCTCATCACTATACGAATTTTCAGAAACTGAATCAGAGAAGGGTTGGTAATGGTAACCTTCATCTTTAAGTTGTTTGCTTATGATGCGCAGCTATTCACGTACAGCTTTTATCTCGGGATGCATCTGGTCTCCCACAACGAACACGTGAACACCGTCTTTTAGTTCGATCCAGCTACATCCTGGCTCCTTATTCACTCCTCTAAGTCTCATCAATCTCCGGACTCTCTCCACATCTTCCAGCCTGCCCAAGGCGATGTATATACTGGATAATAAGACATATGCGGATGATTCTTGAGAACCCAACTCCATGAGTTTCTCTCCGGCATATGCCCCTAATTCGTAGTTCCGGAAGTTCCGGCAAGCGCTTAATAGAATAAGCCATAAACACATGCCATGGTCTATGGTGGCTGATTCGATGAACTCCTTAGCTTCATCGAGCTTTCCTGCACGCCCAAGGATGTCAACCATGCAGGCATAGTGTTCTACTCTTGGAACAATTCCAAACTTATCGGACATCATGTCAAAATAAGCCCAACACGTTTCCACCAATCCCATGTGGCTACAAGCTGAAAGAAGGTTAACGAATGTAACATGTTCCGGCTCTGTTCCTTCCAGCAGCATCTCCTCGAAAAGTTCGAGAGCTTCATTTCCATGCCCATTTTAAGCAAGCCCTGATATCATTGCATTCCACGACGCTATATCCCTCCATGGCATCTTTATGAAGACGAGGCTCCCATCTTCTAGACTCCCGCACTTCGCATACATGGTTGAAAGAGCACTTCCGATTGGTACTTCGAGACCGAATCCGTGCTTAATGGTACAAGCATGGATTTGCTTTCCTTGTTCCAAAGCAGCGAGACACGAACAAACTTTTAGAATACTGGCCATTGTGAGCTCATTGGGCATGATCCCCTCGATCCACATTCTACCATACAAATTCATTGCATTTTCGTTATCCCCTTTTTGCACATATCCTCCAATCATGGAAGTCCATAAAACCATATCGGGATGTTGTAAATAATCAAACCCCTTCCGAGCATCTATCGTATTACCACATTTTGCATACATATCGACCAAAGCTGTCATTATGTATACTTGCGATTCGTATCTCGATTTCAACAAGTAACCATGAACTTGCTTTCCTTCTTCAACGGCAGGAACATCACTACAAGCATTAAGAACACCAACAAGAGTAAACTTGCTAGGTGTGATCCCCTCAAAATGCATATTTAATAACAGCTTGAGAGCCTTCAAGGACTCCCCACTTTGTGAATAACCAGTGAGTGATTATCGCCTACCATGTAATCGAATTCTTATCACTTGATAATTCAAATGCCTTAAGTGCATCATCCAAGCTCCCACATTTAGCGTACATTGTAACAAGAGCGTTCCCAACAGATACAAACACTAATAACCCATTTTTGACCGTGAGGCAGTGTATTTGCCTACCGGTGCTAAGAAGCTCAGGATCCGCCAATGCGCTAAGGACACTTGACAATGCATACTCGTTCACTTTTTCATATTTGAAACGCATTAATTTTAAAAGCTCAAAAGCCTCCACGGCAGACCTTTGCATAGCGTAACCAGAAATCATTGTAGCTCAAGAAACCGAATTCCTTTCGGGCATTTCATCAAACACCTTACGAGCCTCAACCAAAACTCCCGATAACCGATTTACAGTACGTGTTCAGAAGAGAGCTCCCGACAAACACATCACAAAAGTTGTCGGTTTTAATTGCAAGTGCATGAGCTTGCGGCCCACTGAATACATCCGACAAATTCGATTCAGCGGTGAAAACGCCGGCGAAGGTATGGGCATTAGGCAAGACGTTCTCTGCTCGCATTCGCTGAAAGAGTTCCATGACAAACGAAGATCCTGTGGGGCCTTGTTGAGAGTAGCCATTGATGATGCAGTTCCAGGAGACAACATCTCTGTCTCGTATATTTTCGAATACACGCTTGGCTCGTAACAAGTCCCCGCATTTGGTGTACGCAGGAAGATGAACCAGCTATTACTATTCGAGCGTGAATCGTAAGGCCTCGGAGCAGGTCTCTTTGTTTGGTACATTGAATGAGTTCTGAAAAAAAAGGAGATATATCGTGGAGAAGTCATCAACTATGTAAAAGCTTGGGTTTCGGCCTTTGTTGATGAGACATCGCTCAACTGAGAGCATCGAAGCAAAGCTCAAAACTCTTGCAAAAGAACCAACCCCAATGAATCCAAGCAATAGCCCAAATTAGTTACACACATTTTAGTTTGGTTATCAATAGAATAAGTTTATAATTGGTTGAGTGACTGAGTTGTTAACTTTTTTTTTTTTTTAAGTTATGAGTTTTAGACATATCAGCAGTATTTCTTTCTTTCTTTTTTCCTACAAGCAAGATTAAAATTAGATTTAAAATTTATCATAAAAAAAAATTATCCGCAGACCGCAGTATATATAATTATATATCCACCATCTACTTGTGTCCTTGCAAATATCAAGAACATGACATGGAACTTATACAGGTAAATAAGGTTGCTTCAATGAGACTACTTCATTGTTTCTATGATAAGTAAACGCATCAAATTAGCAAACCTCGTTCAGATTAATATCATCCTAAAAAATGGTTGTGTCTTTCTAAGGTTAATATAATCTTTCAAATTTCCTACAACAGAAGTGAGAAAATATAAACTATATTTGAACTGTTAAAAATATTTCGAGATAAAAAGAATTTAAATTCAATCCTAAATGTTCCATTTTTCCCACTGATTCAATCATGGCTCTGACGGTATCTCGGTATGACAACTGGTATGTTCCTTGGGAGGAGGGGCTGATGGTGCACTGATCATTGATGCTGCAATTATCAAATAGATACTGATATCCTTTTATCTGATTTTGTATATTTTGAAATTTGGAACTGTGTAAATCTGTAAACAATTAATTGGATATGGTTAGGTCTTGGGGGTAGACTTTAAGCAATAAATGGTGCAGTACTGTGCCATTACTAATCTTACACATACATGCAAGTATATTTGTGAGAATTTGTTCTCTCTTTAACCTCTGGGAAATGAAAAGGAAAATTTGACCATTACTATACTAATTATAAGATCAGAACAAAATTACACACAACAAACAGTCACTTTCGTTTGTGTTTTTCTACCATTGCTATTAGAGAGACTTCTTGAATCTCTCCAAGCTGCCATTAATTCTCAACATGATTCATGCGACTCTTGGATTTTGACAAGTTTCATTGAAAAGAAATAAACAGTGAAATATGGTCGATGTTCATTAGCATAGACGATTTGAGACAATAAAGTCATCATTTGAACAAAGAAGTTTTTAATATATATGATGATAGGTTTCACGTGGCAACCATTAGCAAAGACTAATTAAATTTTCCATTGATCATTTTTGTTGTTGGAGGTTTTAGTTTCATTTTTCGGTTTCATGTATAATGAGGGTTTTGTTCATCAGAAACGAGGGGGTGAGATGATGAAGGGAAAGAAAAGACAGAATTAAAAGGTGTTTTTTTTTCTTTTCACCAGTAACGAGGGAAAAAAGAGAGTATATAAACATGACGATGATCCTTTGATTCTTCTAAATATACCCTTCATATAGGGGATTGAACCCATCACTCTTTTTCTCTCTCTTATTTACTGTCTTCCTTCATTGATTCTTAAATAGAACCGCATCAGCCCTTCTCTTTACCATCAACTCTACTCTCAGTGTTCTCTTGAAACCCTAGTTGTCATTAGCTGTTTCTCCTCTTTGGTTCGTTTTAGTTTACTGTTTCCTCGTTCATTCTTTTTATATTCTTTTCGTCGACATAACAAAAGGTAGAAAGTAATGGCCGGTAAAGGAGAAGGTCCAGCCATCGGAATCGATCTCGGAACCACTTATTCTTGCGTTGGTGTTTGGCAACATGATCGTGTTGAGATTATCGCCAACGATCAAGGTAACAGAACGACGCCGTCTTATGTCGGTTTTACCGACACTGAGCGTTTGATCGGTGATGCAGCCAAGAATCAGGTCGCCATGAACCCCATCAACACCGTCTTTGATGCAAAGAGATTGATTGGACGTAGATTCAGTGATGCATCTGTTCAGGGTGATATGAAACTGTGGCCATTCAAGGTCATCGCTGGACCTGGTGACAAGCCAATGATTGTTGTTACTTACAAGGGTGAAGAGAAACAGTTTGCTGCTGAGGAGATCTCTTCAATGGTACTCATAAAGATGCGTGAAATTGCTGAGGCTTACCTTGGGTCTACAGTTAAGAATGCTGTGGTTACTGTCCCTGCTTACTTCAATGACTCCCAGCGTCAAGCAACAAAGGATGCTGGTGTCATTTCTGGTCTTAATGTCATGCGAATTATCAATGAACCCACGGCTGCTGCCATTGCTTATGGTCTTGACAAAAAAGCTACAAGTGTCGGTGAAAAGAATGTCTTGATCTTTGATCTTGGTGGTGGTAATTTTGATGTCTCTCTTCTAACCATTGAAGAGGGTATCTTTGAAGTGAAATCCACTGCTGGGGATACTCACCTTGGAGGTGAAGACTTTAATAACAGAATGGTGAACAACTTTGTCCAGGAGTTTAAGAGAAATAACAAGGACATTAGTGGTAAACCCCAGAGCTCTTTGGAGGATGAGGACTGATTGTGAGAGGGCAAAAAGAACCCTTTCATCCACTGCCCAGACTACTATAGAGACTGATTCCTTGTATGAGGGTATCGATTTCTACTCAACCATTACCCGTGCCAGATT